CTGAAGCAGCTCGAGCGCGTCAATGCATTCGACGCGTACGAGCAGGGCCTCATCGCGCATGTGCGGGAGAACCTGCAGACTCGGCGGCGGAAGCAAACCCGCCTCACCCGAAGCCAATACGGCTGAAGGTAAAGCCGTATGAAGGGAAGGAAGGCGAGAACCTTCACTTCTGGGTCCGAGAAGTAGAGCTCGCGATGGACGCGGCTCTGATCTCGACCGAGCAACTGCGTGTTGCTTTTGCACTCTCCAACCTTAGCGGTCGTGCTAAGAGTTGGGTGTACACTCGGGAAGCGACATCCCCTGGATGTTTCACATCCTGGGCTCAGCTGTGCCAACAGCTCCGAGCCGCGTTCCTCCCGGCGAACTACGAGTACCACCAGCGTTCGCGCTTCCTCGCGTGTAAACAAGGAAGACGCGAACTGCACGAGTATGTGCAAGAGATACGGGAGCTCACGGCGTCCCTAGTGGGAAACCCACTCAATGAACACATCAAGATGACTGTGTTCATGGACGGCCTTCGAGTGGGCCCCGCACGCACTCAGCTGTTCCGGGTGCAGGCAAGCACCCTTGAAGAGGCGATTCAAGTGGCTCTTCAAGAAGAATACAGCCATCGCCAGGCGCGTACGCCGGCCTCAGCGTGGCCTGGGAGTTCCTTGTCGGCTCCCGGTCGAACAAGCCCCAACGGACCAGTTCCCATGGAACTCGGGTCCGCCGAACAGCGTGACATCCGCTGCTTCGGCTGTGGGAAGATGGGCCACTTCAAGCGCGACTGTCCCGCGGAAAGACTCCGCAGACGGTCCTTCCCCAAGCCCGTCCTCAAGGGTCGCTGGCAGAAGCCAGGATCCCGGGGACAGGGGAACGCAGGGAACCAGTAGGGGCGGGGCGCCCTACTGGGGAAGAACTAAGTCTTCGTGATGGGTGCGCGGGTGGCGCGTACCACGGGGACTTAGCCCCTGAGAGTCTTCGCACTCTCGAATCGGCGAAGAGCAGCGGCGGGTTGCTCGTAGTACACGGATGTGTACGGGGGTACGATCACCCCTTTAGAATCTTGATTGACTCTGGGGCGTCGAAGAATTTCGCACGCCGCCAGACGGTTGCTCGTAACAGCAACAAGTTGTCCGAAGCTTTGCAAGAAAGCAAGGGCAACGGGACGGTGTCAGTGCGACTGGCCGACGGGAAGGTCGTCACTGTCCCCAACGTCCAAGTGGATCTGGCTGTCAAGTTTGAAGACTTTGACAGCCTCGAACAGTTCACTGTTCTCGATATGGATCCATATGATATGATCCTGGGCATGCCCTGGCTTGAGAAGCACGAGCCCTGGATCGACTGGCGAGGCAAGGCAATCGGTGCCAGCCGCCCTGCGCAGTCCGACAGAGCATTGGTGAGTCATGTTCCCACCTCTGTCAGGACCCGGGGCGCCCGCGAGGGCTGCCAGGGTACCAAAGCATCCGGCAGATGCTTGGGAGTCGTCGACGTATATGACGACTCCGAGGATGTTTTGATGGTGGCCGCGCCCAGAAGAGGCGCCGGCCAAGTGGGTAACTTAGGTCCACAGGCGGGTAACTTAGTTCCGCAGACAGCTGCAGCTGTCATGAACACTGAGAACAGCGTGTTCAGAGTGGGTAACAGAGTTCCACTCACGGTCGCCCAGACCATAACTGAAGAGGAAGACGTCGGATACGCTTCCTGTGTGAGTAACACAGTGCCACACGCGGGTGG